GCCATACAGTTTGTAAGCAATATAAGTCTCTGTGTTTACTTGGTCGGGTCTGAGTGGCTGTGGGACTGGCGGGTGATAGAGATTTGTCCTGACTGTGGGCAAGGCAGGAAAACTCTAGTTACAATGGTCAAAGCAACGGGGATGGGGGGGGGGGGGTGCTTCTTCCTTATACTTTGGAAGTAGCTGGGACTGATGCATGGTCCTTGCCTCCTAATTTTCTTTTCTTTTTTTATGCTTGTCAAGCGGTAGGTGGAGACTGTCTTCTGTCCTACTGCGTTCTTGTCCCTCTCTCTAAGAATGGAGGAGACAGACAGTTGAGTACAAATGGCAAGTATTTCATTTTTCAAGTTGGAATTGGCAAGGTTTAAGTGGAATAAAACAATTTAAAGCAGACTGCCACATGGGATTACAAGAAAACAGGTTTGAACTCTCCCTAGCAGTGGGATGCTGTTATAGTCTCGAGAAGTGTTCCAGTTAACGGGAGTGTGACGGCTCAGCAGTTCTTGCGGAGCTCTGGGATACCAGCCAAGAGTAGTCAGTCCCTTGCGGAGCAACACAGAGGAGCAGGCCTGCCGGTCTCCTGTTCTCCGGTCTCCGGAGAGTCTGGAAGGTTGGAGTTATAGGTCTCCTGAAGCAGCAGTTCTTCGAGCAGGAAATGAATTCCCCTTTGCCGCCCAGCCAGTGCTGAGCCCTGGAGGCTGAGGCAGAAAAAACTCGAGTCCTGGAAGCTGGCTTTGAGCAAGCGCCTTGCCCAGGACAGAAAATCCTTAGGGGCAGGCAGCCTCCTCTTCGAAGAGTGAGGCGTTTGGGAGTCTGGCTCTTAAAGTCTTCAAGGCTTTTTCCTCTGAAGAGAACAGGAGTACTAGGCTCAGAAGTCTTCCTTTTCCTCTTTTTCCATGAGCTCCTGCAGTAGTTCTGGCTTTATAGTATTGAAATGTGTGGATTTGGTTGCCAGGATGCCAGCTAAACGTTGCTGGCTAAATGTGGGTATGCAAATAAGGTGAAGAAATAGGACCAATCAGAGAAGAGCTATCAAACCTAATAGGGGAAAGACCCCTAAGCTCCACTCGTCTCTGTTTCCATAGAGGTAGGAAACACTGTAAAAGTTTCTGCTGTGATGTTTTCAGACGCTTGCTGTGACCAGACTGCTTAGTTCATCCAGGGGTTTAAATGGGATTCAAATGAAACCGCTTTGAGCCCTCGGTGGCAGTAGAATGCTCTTCTAGTTCTGAGAAGTGTTACAGTTACACTGAGTGTTACGGTTCAGCAGCTCTGCTCTAGTAGTTGTTTCTTGGGTGTGTGTGTGTGGTGTGGTGGTGGGGCTCTTTGTTTCTGTTTAGGGCTGCTGCTACTGTTTTAACTACTGTTAGCAGCCTGCTGCCTGTGGCTCCTTTGTCCTCTACACCTGAGCCTGCTGGACACTGGAAAGTTCCCAATGGGGGACCCCATCTAACCAACATTTGTATACAAACAATGCTACATTTTCTAACTGTACAATTGTGGGATGCTGAGAGATATGCTGACCTTCTTCACCCACCCACTAAGCAGTGAAATCAAGATATTGTACAGTGCCTACTGTGTACTTTAGTCCTTTTTTTAAAAGGCAGAGCTTTTAATTTTAATTCAATTGTGGCTTGAAAAGGTTACATGGACAATTCCAGAAACAAACAATTTGTAAGTTCTAAATTGTATGCCATTCTGAGTGGGCTGATAAAATATGTCCACTGCCGCTGGGCGGTGGTGGCCCACGCCTTTAATCCCAGCACTCGGGAGGCAGAGGCAGGTGGATTTCTGTGAGTTCGAGGCCAGCCTGGGCTATAGAGCAAGTTCCTGGGAAGGCGCAAAGCTACCCTGAGAAACTATCTCAAAAAACAAAAACAACAGCAACAACAAAGGTCACTGCCAAGGATGCCTCACAGTTACCCACTTGCCCCTTGGCTTTCACAGTCAAGCTGTCTAGAGGGACATCTCTGAGAATGAATGCCACCTGCAGCAGACAAGCTTCACAGAACCAAGACCAAGCCAAGGGGGATCATAGATGGTGGAAATGAGGCCAAAAGAAAGATCAGGCAGAGGCATGGTTCAAGGCTCAGGTTTCAGCTGTCGAGATCTCAGGATACCCATCCCCCAAGGTCCCTGCCCCACCTCTCCCAGAGTTCTAGGATCAGGTAAGAGTGGGTCTCCTTCAGGGCTTGGTAGAGTTGACTTTTTCTGGCTTTGTCCCAGGACCGACTGTAGCTGAACAGCCTCCGCATCTTGTTTTGATTGTTGGCCTCAGCACGAACCATCTCATACTGCTCTTCACTCAGCACCTGACCATGCAGTTTGTCCAAGACAGGGTCCACTGATGTCACTCGGGCCACCAGCTGCTCCCTATGCCGGTCCACAAAGTGCAGGGAGGGCCTGGCAACTGTGGATGAAGGCAAGACTGGCAGGAATCAAAGAGAGGCTCCCAGCAGAGCCTCTCACAGCTCATTCTCCACTTCTGTTTCTTATCTCATTGTGTCACTGGCTTCCTTCCCACTCTGGAAACCCCTTGCCTAGCCTCATGTCAGTAGCCAGCCTGACACTCTGTGGGAACAGAAAGGGTTAATGACTGAGGTTGTGAATGGGGTGTGTTATGGCCCCCATGGCCAGGAGCAAAAGGCCCGGGGACTTGGATGTGAAGCTCCCCACATCCTGGTGAGGCTGGCAATGAGAGGGTCCCCTCTTTTCTCCTTTCCCTTCCCTCCAGAACCAGATAGTGCACCCTGAAACCCTCACTGCCTCATTTGGTGTGGCAGGTGCTACTGACCTGTAGGGGCTGGAGTGACTGGAGTGGATGCAGGTCTAAGGTCTCCTAGAGGAAAGGAGAGATGGAGATGCATCTATAATAGTGCTAGTTATAAACTCACATGACATACCCTGAAACTCTCATCTAGATGCTTGGATTCTGAGAACAAGCTAGAGACAAATTCTGTCCGAGTCTGGCATAAGGGTAGAATGGACCTATAGACACAATCTAGGTGAATCCTTTCCTAATGTCTTTAGGAAGTTGAAGCCCAGAGGTTATGATTTTAGACTAATCAAAAGAAAGAAAGCTTCTAGATGAGAAACAGCAACTTCTTCCAACATCATCTCAACCCATTTTAGCCTGCCTTGGCCTGAATTAAATTCCTGGAGAACTAACCGAGTCCTTTGCCTGAAGTTTTAAAGTATTTGATATTTTATTTTGAGTCTAAACCTATTCCTTTTCCTTTTTAATATTTTTAAAGAATTATTTTTGTAATTTTAAATTATGCTTGTTTGTGTATGCCTATGCACATGAGTGTAGGTGTCTGTAGAGCCCAGAAGAGGGCGCTGGATCCCCTGGAACTGGAATTATAAGCAGTCATAAAACATGGGTGCTGGGAAACAAACTCAGGTCTCGTGGAAGAGTTGAAATTCTTATAAAATCAGTGTCTGTATAACTTAAAAAGCCACATCATTTTTTCTAGGGGTATTTATGATCATTTGGCCCATCATGGATCTTTCTCTTACCTTTGTGCACCCTGAATTTGTCCTAGGTTTACCTGGTTTCAACAAGGTTTCCCAAACTACAGTGCCAGCATTCTTGTCTTTTATTTCCAACCGGATCCCTGATTGTAAGTGGCCAACATAGATTTCTGAGAAGAGCTGGGCTTCTGCGGAGCTCCGGTAGCACAGCTCAAGCTCCTGGAGAAAGCAAGAGCCTCTATGTGAGAAGCCATTGTTTGTTCTGAAGATGAGTCTTTCCCCACTCCAACACCCTCTTGGTCCTACTCCATTGCAGAGGGACATTATCCTTTCTCCTGAAGTCAGTCAACTTTGACAACATGTACTAATTCAGAAGGGTGAGAGCACTGAAGAGAATCCATGGGCCAACTCAAGGCTCATTCTCAAAGTAGTGCTCACACATTCTAAGCCAAAGCTCTTCTCCTTCATCTTTTATTTTCTCTCTTCCTTTTTGTCCTTCCTTCCTGCATTCCTTCTTTTCTTCCTTTTTTCCTTCCTTCCTTCCTTCCTTCCTTCCTTCCCCTTCCTTCCTTCCTTCCTTCCTTCCTTCCTTCCTTCCTTCCTTCCCTCCCTC